ATACTTTTTTCCCCACTGTATACTGACTCAGCAAAAAAAGAAACTTCCCTTTTTCAGGACCCTGTCTTTCAAAGATAATTTGTAAAAATCCAAATAACTTCACAGATCTTGCATAAGCAATTAATGAACATTCACCTGTGGAACGGTCGTTAAGACACTAACAGCTTACAGACGGTAGGCAATTAAGGTCACAGTTATGAAAACTTAGGACACTAAAGAGGCCTTTCTACTGACTCCAAAAGAAGGAAGCCCAGGGTCCCTGCTCATCTGCGTGAACGTGCCTTAGGCATGCTGCAACGAGGCATGAGGACTGTGCCAGGGCAATAAATTGCAATATCCATACTGTGAGACGCCTAAGACAGTGCTACAGGGAGACAGGACGGACAGCTGATTGTCCTCGCAGTGGCAGACCACATGTAACAACACCTGCACAGGATCGGTACATCCGAACATCACACCTGCGGGACTGGTACAGGATGGCAACAACAACTGCCCGAGTTACACCAGGAACACACAATCCCTCCATCAGTGCTCAGACTGTCTGCAATAGGCTGAGACAGGCTGGACTGAGGGCTTGTAGGCCTGCTGTAAGGCAGGTCCTCACCAGACATCACCGGCAACAACGTCGCCTATGGGCACAAACACACTGTCGCTGGATCAGACAGGACTGGCAAAAACTGCTCTTCACTGAAGAGTCGCGGTTTTGTCTCACCAGGGGTGATGGTCAGATTCGCATTTATCGTCCAAGGAATGAGCGTTACACCAAGGCCTGTACTCTGGAGCGGGATCAATTTGGAGGTGGAGGGTCCGTCATGGTCTGGGGAGGTGTTTCACAGCATCATCGGACTGAGCTTGTTGTCATTGCAGGCAATCTCAACGCTGTGCGTTACAGGGAAGACATCAGCCATACTGCTCGTTCTGTGCGTGTTCTGACATGCAGGAAATGTCAGTGTTCTGCCATGTCAGTGAAGAGCCTGGATCTCAATCCCATTGAGCACGTCTGGGACCTGTTGGATCGGAGGGTGAGGGCTAGGGCCATTCCCCCCAGAAATGTCCGGGAACTTGCAGGTGCCTTGGTGGAAGAGTGGGGAAACATCTCACAGCAAGAACTGGCAAATCTGGTGCAGTCCATGAGGAGGAGATGCACTGCAGTACTTAATGCAGCTGATCACTTGTTCAGTTTATGTCTCAGTTGTTGAATCTTGTTATGTTCATACAAATATTTACACGTTAAGTTTGCTTAAAATAAACGCAGTTGACAGTGAGAGGATGTTTCTTTTTTTGCTGAGTTTACATGATTCCATATGTGTTATTACATAGTTTTGATGTCTTCACTATTATTCTACAATGTAGAAAATAGTAAAAATAAAGAAAAACCCTGGGATGAGTATGTTTGTCCAAACTTTTGACTTGTACTGTATATACACTGCTCAAAAAAATAAAGGGAACACTTAAACAACACAATGTAACTCCAAGTCAATCACACTTCTGTGAAATCAAACTGTCCACTTAGGAAGCAACACTGATTGACAATACATTTCACATGCTGTTGTGCAAATGGAATAGACAACAGGTGGAAATTATAGGCAATTAGCAAGACACCCCCAATAAAGAAGTGGTTCTGCAGGTGGTGACCACAGACCACTTCTCAGTTCCTATGCTTCCTGGCTGATGTTTTGGTCACTTTTGAATGCTGGCGGTGCTTTCACTCTAGTGGTAGCATGAGACGGAGTCTACAACCCACACAAGTGGCTCAGGTAGTGCAGCTCATCCAGGATGGCACATCAATGCGAGCTGTGGCAAGAAGGTTTGCTGTGTCTGTCAGCGTAGTGTCCAGAGCATGGAGGCGCTACCAGGAGACAGGCCAGTACATCAGGAGACGTGGAGGAGGCCGTAGGAGGGCAACAACCCAGCAGCAGGACCGCTACCTCCGCCTTTGTGCAAGGAGGAGCAGGAGGAGCACTGCCAGAGCCCTGCAAAATGACCTCCAGCAGGCCACAAATGTGCATGTGTCTGCTCAAATGGTCAGAAACAGACTCCATGAGGGTGGTATGAGGGTCCGACGTCCACAGGTGGGGGTTGTGCTTACAGCCCAACACCGTGCAGGACGTTTGGCATTTGCCAGAGAACACCCTGTGCTCTTCACAGATGAAAGCAGGTTCACACTGAGCAAGTGACAGACGTGACAGAGTCTGGAGACGCCGTGGAGAACATTCTGCTGCCTGCAACATCCTCCAGCATGACCGGTTTGGCGGTGGGTAAGTCATGGTGTGGGGTGGCATTTCTTTGGGGGGCCGCACAGCCCTCCATGTGCTCGCCAGAGGTAGCCTGACTGCCATTAGGTACCGAGATGAGATCCTCAGACCCCTTGTGAGACCATATGCTGGTGCGGTTGGCCCTGGGTTCCTCCTAATGCAAGACAATGCTAGACCTCATGTGGCTGGAGTGTGTCAGCAGTTCTTGTAAGAGGAAGGCATTGATGCTATGGACTGGCCCGCCCGTTCCCCAGACCTGAATCCAATTGAGCACATCTGGGACATCATGTCTCGCTCCATCCACCAACGCCACGTTGCACCACAGACTGTCCAGGAGTTGGAAGATGCTTTAGTCCAGGTCTGGGAGGAGATCCCTCAGGAGACCATCCGCCACCTCATCAGGAGCATGCCCAGGTGTTGTAGGGAGGTCATACAGGCACGTGGAGGCCACACACACTACTGAGCCTCATTTTGACTTGTTTTAAGGACATTACATCAAAGTTGGATCAGCCTGTAGTGTGGTTTTCCACTTTAATTTTGAGGGTGACTCCAAATCCAGACCTCCATGGGTTGATACATTTGATTTCCATTGATACTTTTTGTGTGATTTTGTTGTCAGCACATTCAACTATGTAAAGAAAAAAGTATTTAATAAGAATATTTCATTCATTCAGATCTAGGATGTGTTGTTTAAGTGTTCCCTTTATTTTTTTGAGCAGTGTATATACACATATGTATACACATACATACACATATACACAAATATATGTGTATGTATATAATTTAGTAACCAAAAAAGTGTTAAACAAATCAAAATATATTTTATATTTGAGATTCTTCAAAGTAGCCACCCTTTGCCTTGATGACAGCTTTGCACATTCTTGGCATTCTCTCAACCAGCTTCATGAGGTAGTCACCTGGAATGCATTTCAATTAACAGGTGTGCTTTGTTAAACATTAATTTTCTGAATTTATTTCCTTCTTAATGCATTTGAGCCTATCAGTTGTGTTGTGACAAGGTAGGGGTGGTATACAGAAGATAGCCCTATTTGGTAAAAGACCAAGTCCATATTATTGCAAGAACAGCTCAAACAAGCAAAGAGAAACGACAGTCCATCATTGCTTTAAGACATGAAGGTCAGTCAATACGGAACATTTCAAGAACTTTGAAAGTTTCTTCAAGTGCAGTCGCAAAAACCATCAAGCGCTATGATGAAACTGGCTCTCATGAGGACCGCCACAGGAAAGGAAGACCCAGCGTTACCTCTGCTGCAGAGGATAAGTTCATTAGAGATACCAGCCTCAGACATTGCAGCCCAAATAAATGCTTCACAGAGTTCAAGTAACAGACACATCTCAACATCAACTGTTCAGAGGAGACTATGTGAATCAGGCCTTCATGGTCAGATTGCTGCAAAGAAACCACTACTAAAGGACACCAATAAGAAGAAGAGACTTGCTTGGGCCAAGAAACACGAGCAATGGACATTAGACCAGTGGAAATCTGTCCTTTGGTCTGATGAGTCCAAATTTGAGATGTTTGGTTCCAACTGCACTGATCTCTGCATGTGTGGTTCCCACTGTGAAGCATGGAGAAGGTGTGACGGTGTGGGGGTGCTTTGCTGGTGACACTGTCGGTGATTTATTTAGAATTCAAGGCACACTTAACCAGCATGGCTACCACAGCATTCTGCAGCAATACCCCATCCCATCTGGTTTGCGCTTAGTGGGACTATCATTTGTTTTTCAACAGGACAATGACCCAACACACCTCCAGGCTGTGTAAAGGGCTATTTGACCAAGAAGGTGTGATGGAGTGCTGCATCAGATGACCTGGCCTCCACAATCACCCGACCTCAACACAATTGAGATGGTTTGGGATGAGTTGGACCGCAACAAGTGCTCAGCATATGTGGGAACTCCTTCAAGACTGTTGGAAAAGCATTCCAGGTGAAGCTGGTTGAGAGAATGCCAAGTGTGAAAAGCTGTCATCAAGGCAAAGGGTGGCTATTTGAAGAATCTCAAATATAGAATATATTTTGATTTGTTTAACACTTTTTTGGTTACTACATGATTCCATGTGTTATTTCATAGTTTTGATGTCTTCACTATTATTCTACAATGTAGAAAATATTTAAAAATAAGAAAAACCCTTGAATGAGTAGGTGTTCTAACATTTGTGACCGGTAGTGTATGGTAATATTATGAAACTGGGCTCCATGGTGGACACAATGAACTCGTTTTTTATCAGAAAAAAGCGTAACAAATGTCATGTCCAGCCTAATTGTGTGCCAACAAGCTAGGCGAGAGCGAAGGAAACAGTGTGTGCTAACTCACTAGCTAGGAAGACTCCGGAACAGCAGGTGAGGTGGTTGACAGAGTCCATCGCCCCCGAACAACTCATCACTTTTATTTCCCTTTTGACACATTTGAATCACATTGACAATCAGAGAAATCTAGAATATTAAGTGTCAAACAAGCATGAAGATGGCGTGCTTATCTTTCATATCAGCGAGACAGAATCTTTCAAATAATAAAGATACACTTACTGTAGCAGTTTTGCACAGATCCATACGCTGTGTGTTCATCCAGTTGACAAACTACACTTCCTCCCCAGTTAAGCTTACACGCAGGTGTTCGGAGCATGCTAATTAGCACAGATGGCTGCCTATATCTTCCGTAAACAAGCGCTGTAATATGGAGATATGGCCATGTGGGAACACTAACCTTATGCCCAGATGTGTGTGACTTGCAATTATTCTATTACTTTCAGTAAATCTTTGGGATTATAAATTTTTTCCCATCTATGGGTCACATGTAATCAATTGAGTATGAATAGACAGCATAAGCTTCCAACATTCCCTTTAATTGGCTTTGAGTCATGGATTATAGCAGTAAACATGAGCTTTAAACAAACATTATTTTCTTGACATCACCAAAATAGCTGATTGTGAATATAAAAAGACATGAAAAGTTAATGGAATACTGTATATAATCACTTGACACATTCCTTTAACGTAAGCGATTACAAATTCAAGTAAGAACTTGTTAACCTATCTTATAAAACGTTGCTAAAAAATTGACAAATTTCAAGCAAAACAATCAAATGTTCGAAACAGGCATTTGAAAACACAGAAACTGAGAACTATATAATACACATGGCAATTCATTCCAGTGGTTCTCCATCTATTACAATGTAAAGCCGGAGTTAGTACTTTGTCGTTCTACACAATTTACAGTCTCGTTCTCAGGGTTGCCTTCCAACGTAGAAGTCGTCTCGTCGAACAGGCTGAGCAGGTTCTTTGGTTCAAAGCTGGGTCGAGGGAGGGGCTCTGAGCGGACCCAGTTCCGGACGGGCCATTGGGAGGAGTGTGTGGATGTGTTGTGCTGACTGTGTGCGTCCATGGACCGGTCTATCAGGCTGAGTCTGTGAGAGCCTGTGTCTTTGGGGGACCCTGTGATTGCTGTCAGTGTGTGGCGGGATCTGTCTGAGTGGATGCTGGAGGGTGTGTGTGTGAGGTTGAGGCTACGTGAGGGTGTGTGGATGTCACTAGTGTGTGTAGGGGTGTGGGCAGGACTCAGTTGACAGAATACTGGAGGGGAGTTCGGGAGAGGGGTGGAGGTGCTTCCCATGGATAGCCGGGATTTGATTCTGTTGAATGAGAGAAATTTAGAGTGTGAATGTCAGTGAGAAATAATAGGTGTAATATAAGTTAAGCCTTTTTCTATTGAGTAACTGTGGCTGAAAGGATGGACAAAAGATTGATCTCACTATACTTTTACAGCAGCAGTGCTAACATTGCATTTTTATACATTATTGTTGACTCTTTTAGTTTAACAGGTACAGTTGCAACAAATATATTGGCACCCTTGCACTTTTCTTAAGTAATTCCTGATTTCTTCTCAAATAAGTTGAAACTGAAAAGAAACTGTTGCAAAACCTTTAGTCAAGATAGCTTCAATAAGTGTTTTTTGGCAGTTATCAATAAGCTTGCTGCACCTTTCTACTGGCAATTTGGCCCATGCTTCAGCAGCAAACTGCTCTAATTCTTCAACGTTTGAGGGGTGCCTTCCACCAACTGCTGTTTTCAGGTGTCGACAGGTGCTCTAATTTTGTTTAATTGGTCCAAAGAACATTTCCCCAGGATTTAGGCTTGTTTAGCTAGGTTTTTGAGACGTTTAAATCAGGCCTTTTTGTGTCTCCTTCAGCAGTGGGTTCTTTCTATGTTTACCAACGACCAAATGAAGCATTCAAAGAAAATAACACCCACCCTACAATCAAACATGGGGGAGATTCGATAATGCTGTGGATTTGCTTTGCTGCCTTTGGTACTGGAGGCCTTGAACATGTGCAAGACATCATGAAAATCAGCAGATTATCAAGGTGTTTTAGAGTGCAATGTTCAACCCAGTGTCCAAAAACAACCACAAACACATCAAAAGCACCCTGGAATGGTTCAAGAAGAAAAGCTTAACTATTCTGGAGTCGTCAGCGAAGAGTCTAGATCGAAATCAGATCCATAATCTATGGCGAAAGCTGAAAACAGCAGTCGGTGGAGGGCACCCCTCAAACATTGAAGAATTAGAGCAGTTTGCTGCTGAAGAGTGGGCCAAATTGCTAGTAGAAATGTGCAGCAAGCAGATGCCATTAGCTTTGCATGTTTAACTCGGTGACATTGGCACACAGAGGCAGACCTGACTCGGTATCTCAATGTCAAGGATATCAGCGTGCTTGTATATGCTAGTGTCAACATAATGTTTTATTTAAGCAATAAGGCCCAAGGGGGTGTGGTATATTGGCCATATACCACAAACCCCTGAGGTGCCTTGCTATTATAAACTGGTTACCAACGTAAAAAAATTAGTTGTCATACCCGTGGTATATGGTCTGAAATACCACGGCTGTCAGTCAAATCAGCATTCAGGGCTCGAACCACCCAGTTTATAAATATATATATTATCCATTGGCAGTAAAGTACTCAGAGTGTAAAAAACATTAGGAACACCTTCCTAATATTGAGTTGCACCCCCTTTTGCCCTCAGAACAGCCTCACTTCGTCAGGCATGGACTCTACAAGGTGTCGAAAGCATTCCTCACGGATGCTGGCCAATGTTGAATCCAATGCTTCCCACAGTTGTGTCAAGTTGGCTGGTAGTGGCTCTCTACCCTGAATAGCTCGTTCCATCTCATCCCACAGATGCTCAATTGGATTGAGATCTGGTGTCTGGGCAGGCCACTGCAGTAAGCTGAATTCACTGTCATGTTCATGGAACCATTCCTGGACAATCCTAGCCTTGTGGCGTGGGGCATTATCCCGCTGAAAAAAATCAATTTGCAGATGGATACACTGCTGCCATGAAGGGATTCACCTGATTGGCAATGATGTTCAGATATCCTGTGGCATTCAAACGTTGCTCCACTTTTATCAAGCGGCCCAATGTGTGCCATGAAAACACCCCACACCACCAGCCTGCAATGTTGATACGCATTTACTCAAGTGGTTTTCTCCATACCCTAGTCCTCCCATCAGCAGGAACCCGGATTCCGACCAGGCAATGTTTTTCCAATTCTCCAGTGTCTACTGTTTTTGTTCGTTAGCCCACTGCAATCACAGTTTGTTTTTTGCTGAAAGTAGTGGAACTCTGTAAGGTCGTCGGCTGGACCCAGCAGCGTTGCAGTTCTTGACACACTCAAACTGGTGCCCCTTGCATTTACTACCATACCCCGTTCAAAGGCACTTAAATCTTTAGTATTGCCCATTCACCCTCTGAATGGCACACATACACAATCCATGTCTCAAAAATCCTTCTTTAACAGGTCTCCTCCCCTTCATCTACACTGATTGAAGTGTATTTAAAAAGGTAACAATAAGGGATCATAGCTTTCACCTGGTCAATCTCATGGAAACAGCAGCTGTTTCGTACACTCAGTGTATATGAATATGCAGAGAAAAAAAAGAATGATGTTGCATTAAATGGAGAACTCCCTCCCTCCCACCCAATCAATATCTCAAATGCTCACTCTCATTTGGATGTTATTTGGTCTCGTGTCAGTTCAGAGTTTATGTAATTTACCTGTGAGAGAAGGTGGGGGAGTGCTCCGGGCCCAGGGCGTCGGGCAGAAACACCCCGTCCTCTAGGCTGCCTGAGTCAGTGTGCATCATGGCACTGGGGGGCATCATGAACTCCTTCTCTGAGCTCTCCTTTGGAGGGGTGCACGGGGAAGGGGGCATCCAGCGTGGAAGGAACGGGAGGTTGAGAGCGGAGAAGAGCCCCCAACCAGAGTATAAAATAGACTAAAAGAGAAAAGGTAGAATATTCACAAGTTTATTTGAAGTACAAATCAAACGAGTACATCTTGAACAACATTGACAGTCTATCAAACATTTGTATCGTAGCTACACTGGCTTGCGAAAGTATTCACCCCCCTTGGCATTTTTCCTGTTTTGTTGCCTTTGTTGGAATTAAAATAGATTTTTTGTAATCATTTGATTTACACAACATGCCTACCACTTTGAAGATGCAACATATTTTTGTGTGAAACAAACAACAAATAAGCCAAAAAAACAGAAAACTTGAGCAAGCATAACTATTCACCCCCCCCAAAGTCAATACTTTGTAGAGCCACCTTTTGCAGCAATTACAGCTGCAAGTCTCTTGGGGTATGTCTCTATAAGCTTGGCACATCTAGCCACTGGGATATTCTTCAAGGCAAAACTGCTCCAGCTCCTTCAAGTTGGATGGGTTCTGCTGGTGTACAGCAATCTTTAAGTCATTCCACATATTCTCAATTGGATTGAGGTCTGGGCTTTGACTAGGCCATTCCAAGACATTTAAATGTTTCCCCTTAAACCAATCGAGTGTTGCTTTAGCAGTATGCTTAGGGTCATTGTCCTGCTGTAAGGTGAACCTCCGTCCCAGTCTCAAATCTCTGGAAGACTGAAACAGGTTTCCCTCAAGAATTTCCCTGTATTTAGCGCCATCCATCATTCCTTCAATTCTAACCAGTTTCCCAGTCCCTGCCGATGAAAAACATCCCCACAGCATGATGCTGCCATGGTATTATCAGGGTGATGAGAGGTGTTGGGTTTGCGCCAGACATAGCGTTTTCCTTGATGGCCAAAAAGCTCAATTTTAGTCTCATCTGACCAGAGTACATTCTTCTTGTTTTTATCGCACTGCTTTGCTTTATCTTGCCCAGGTCGCAGTTGTAAATGAGAACTTGTTCTCAACTGGCTTACCTGGTTAAATAAATAAAAAATATCCATATGTTTGGGGAGTCTCCCACATGGCTTTTGGCGAAGACCAAACGTGTTTGCTTATTTTTTTCTTTAAGCAATGGCTTTTTTCTGGCCACTCTTCCGTAAAGCCCAGCTCTGTGGAGTGTACGGCTTAAAGTGGTCCTATGGACAGATACTCCAATCTCCGCTGTGGAGCTTTGCAGCTCCTTCAGAGTTATCTTTGGTCTCTTTGTTTCCTCTCTGATTAATGCCCTCCTTGCCTGGTCCATGAGTTTTGGTGGGCGGCCCTCTCTTGGCAGGTTTGTTGTGGTGCCATATTCTTTCAATTTTTTTTTTAAATAATGGATTTAAAAATGGTGCTCAGTGGGATGTTCAAAGTTTCTGATATTTTTTTATAACCCAACCCTGATCTGTACTTCTCCACAACTTTGTCCCTGACCTGTTTGGAGAGCTCCTTGGTCTTCATGGTGCCGCTTGCTTGGTGGTGCCCCTTGCTCAGTGGTGTTGCAGACTCTGGGGCCTTTCAGAACAGGTATATATATATATATATATATATATATATATATACACACACAGTGAGGGAAAAAAGTATTTGATCCCCTGCTGATTTTGTACGTTTGCCCACTGACAAAGAAATGATCAGTCTATAATTTTAATGGTAGGTTTATTTGAACAGTGAGAGAGACAGAATAACAACAAAAAAATCCAGAAAAACACATGTCAAAAATGTTATAAATTGATTTGCATTTTAATGAGGGAAATACGTATTTCACCCCCTCTCAATCTGAAAGATTTCTGACTCCCAGATGTCTTTTATACAGGTAACGAGCTGAGATTAGGAGCACACTCTTAAAGGGAGTGCTCCTAATCTCAGCTTGTTACCTGTATAAAATACACCTGTCCACAGAAGCAATCAATCAGATTCCAAACTCTCCACCATGGCCAAGACCAGAGCTCTCCAAGGATGTCAGGGACAAGATTGTAGACCTACACAAGGCTGGAATGGGCTACAAGACCATAGCCAAGCAGCTTGGTGAGAAGGTAACAACAGTTGGTGCGATTATTCGCAAATGGAAGAAACACAAAAGAACTGTCAATCTCCCTAGGCCTGGGGCTCCATGCAAGATCTCACCTCGTGTAGTTGCAATGATCATGAGAACGGTGAGGAATCAGCCCAGAACTACACGGGAGGATCTTGTCAATGATCTCAAGGCAGCTGGGACCATAGTCACCAAGAAAACAATTGGTAACACACTACGCCGTGAAGGACTGAAATCCTGCAGCGCCCGCAAGGTCCCCCTGCTCAAGAAAGCACATATACATGCCCGTCTGAAGTTTGCCAATGAACATCTGAATGATTCAAAGGAGAACTGGGTGAAAGTGTTGTGGTCAGATGAGACCAAAATGGAGCTATTTGGCATCAACTCAACTCGCCGTGTTTGGAGGAGGAGGAATGCTGCCTATGACCCCAAGAACACCATCCCCACCGTCAAACATGGAGGTGGAAACATTATGCTTTGGGGGTGTTTTTCTGCTAAGGGGACAGGACAACTTCACCGCATCAAAGGGACGATGGACGGGGCCATGTACCGTCAAATTTTGGGTGAGAACCTCCTTCCCTCAGCCAGGGCATTGAAAATGGGTCGTGGATGGGTATTCCAGCATGACAATGACCCAAAACACATGGCCAAGGCAACAAAGGAGTGGCTCAAGAAGAGGAACATTAAGGTCCTGGAGTGGCCTAGCCAGTCTCCAGACCTTAATCCCATAGAATATCTGTGGAGGGAGCTGAAGGTTCGAGTTGCCAAACGTCAGCCTCCAAACCTTAATGAGTTGGAGAAGATCTGCAAAGAGGAGTGGAACAAAATCCCTCCTGAGATGTGTGCAAACCTGGTGGCCAACTACAAGAAACGTCTGACCTTTGTGATTGCCAACAAGGGTTTTGCCACCAAGTATTAAGTAACGTTTTGCAGAGGGGTCAAATACTTATTTCCCTCATCAAAATGCAAATCAATTTATAAAATTTTTGACATGCGTTTTTCTGGATTTTTGTTGTTGTTATTCTGTCTCTCACTGTTCAAATAAACCTACCATTAAAATGATAGACTGATATTTTCTTTGTCAGTGGGCAAACGTACAAAATCAGCAGGGGAACAAATACTTTTTTCCCTCACTGTATATACTGAGGTCATGTGACACTTAGCGATTGCACACAGGTGGACTTTATTTAACTAATGATGTGACTTCTGAAGGTAATTGGTTGCACCAGATCTTATTTAGGGGCTTCATAGCAAAGGGGGTGAATACATATGCATGCACCACCTTTCCGTTATTTATTTTTTAGAATTTTTTGTAACATTTTTTTTTTTTCATTTCACTTCACCAATTTGGACTATTTTGTGTATGTCCATTACATGAAATCCAAATAAAAATCCATTTAAATTCCAGGTTGTAATGCAACAAAATAGGAAAAACGCCAAGGGGGATGAATCCTTTTGTAAGGTACTGTACTTTAAAATATATTTTCTTATGCTGATCAGCAGTTGAGTTTGAACAAAATGCTTTATAGATGAGAAGTATTATCATTATTACAGTCAAACCGCCAGTTTAGAGGGAGGCGGAAAGATACAGCGGCTGGGTTTACCAACCTGGCAGAAGGTGACTAGTGTGAGCAGGGTTTCGCGGAGGAGGAGGGAGACGTGGCGCCTCCACCTGTGTCTCCTGACCACTGGCAGGTTGAGGAGCTCGGGCACGGTGGCCCTCACAGACACCTCTGGGGCCAGCATCATCCGCAGCACCGTCTGCAGCTCCACTGACAGGGCTGGAAGTACACAGACAATAATGGGAAACAGAAAATTAAGATAAAAAGATTACCCTAAAAAGGCATTAGGCATACCACTCGAGACAAACTTGCCAGGTGCAAACCATATGATCAAAATGATTCCCTTACACTGATGCTCCCGATTGCTTTTCTATATTAGGCAAACACATGGGAGGACATGACAGTGTGCAGGTTAATTTCACTGCTAAAAAGGAGGAGTACAAATCAAACGGGTAAATCTTGTATAAAATTGAAAGTCTATCCAACATGTGTATCGTATATATTTTCTTAAGACCTGGGGCCGCAGCCACAAAGCGTTTCAGAGTAGAAAATTGGTTGCAAGTGCTAAGAAGAGACATTTTACCCTACCCTAATGGGTAAAATAAATAAAGTATATGCATGAAGCCTATTTAGTCATAAGAGTTCCACCTAGTCGACAGATATTTAGGAGACCTCGTGAGCTGTCCTAACCAGTTAAGTTACCAGCAGGTGTCTTGATAATAGACAACGGCAGTGAGTCAGTGGTTCCTGTGTCACATGCAATTGTTTTGGATTTGTTGAAAGAATTTGATATTTCTAGGATATGATCAATCCATAAATGATCTAAACCTACATGCATCTCTTGCGCTTTTGACAATGATTTCACTAGGCCTATTTCACTAGGCAAAGAGATCGTGTCAGGCAAAAATTATATAAGCGTTTTACCATTGCAACATTTAATGTACAGTCACATTCACCGTGGTTGTCTGAAGCGTGTTCACAGCTGGCGATGCCTTACCGCAATTGGGCATTTCCCATAATTTGTAAGAATGCCAATGAGCGTCATTTACATTTTAGTAATTTAGCAGACGCTCTTATCCAGAGCGACTTACAGTTAGTGAGTGCATACATTTTTTCATACTGGCCCCCCGTGGGAATCGAACCCACAACCCTGGCGTTGCAAACGCCATGCTCTACCAACTAAGCTACACGGGCCATCACCATCTTTCCTTTGCAGTACCTCAAACTGTTGTGATTACCACCTGAGAAACTTTTATGAGGAGTTTTACTCCTGGCTCTGAGTTTGTGTGAGCAGTGCCTTAACATCATCCTAAAACCTACCCTGAGCTGGGAGTTATTTTGTCTTAAAACAGGTTAACAGGATTCCTAGGACCTTTTCTGAGATGCTTTGTGGATACGGCCCCAGATGTGTAAAAGCTGCCATTACCATTGGTAAACTCTGCGGGTAGATGGCCTTGTCTGAGCTGCTGCCATCCCTCTCCCCCTTTTGGCACCTCCATATTGCACGCCAGCTCCAAGATGGACACGCCAAGACTGAGAGAGACAGGAAAGGCTCATTATTACTAATTGCTTAGATATAGTGCTTTTTTTCCACCAGGTACTCAATGCACTTTACATCGTAAAGGGGAATCACTTCCTCCATTATTAGGGAGTATACGGAGCACCGGCATCATCACCTGAAAACATCAGCAGCAGGGCCATACTCGCCCCTCAACAGCTCTGGGGCCATGTATCGGGGATCTCCCTCCTGGACATCCTCTTTCTCCCTCCCCTTCCCCTCTGCCAGGCCAGCGGCGACCCCCTCCCCTCGGAGCTCCAGTGCCAGCCCAAAGTCGCCTAGTTTGAGGCGGCCAGAGCGCGTCAGGAACACATTGGCTGGCTTGAGGTCCAGGTGGGTGAAGCCACGGGCATGAAGGTGGTGCAGGGCCGAGAGGAGGTCACACAGGTAAGTCCACGCTGCAGGCTCATCTGTAGAGTAACGGGAGAAAAATTTGTCATTATTGACACATACAGGGTTACATTCCTCAGGTATTGTTAGCACAGCCGTATTGTGTATCAGTGGCCGTCAGACAGTGTATCAACAGAAATCATCACACCCCAAAGAACTATAAACAAATTGATAGAAATTCACATGAACTACATTTAATTTCACTGCCATTCACAAATCACATCCATAGAACAGTAGTATGCAACATATGATGTGTCACACAGTGCACCGTTCCAAACTTTACTGACTGACCTGGGCTGGAAGGTTGGGCCTCGGCATGCAGCAGCAGGGTGGTGCAGCACAGCTCCATCTGGATGTACAGGCGGCCCCCCTCCTCCCAGGCTGCCACAAAGCCCAGGATGTGTGGGTGGGGGCACAGGCGCTCGTGGTTCTGGGCCTCCCGCACGCTCCTGTTGCGCTCGCCGTTGCCCCTAAAGCGCTGGACTGAGCGCTTGACAGCGTAGTGGTGCCCGTCCTGGAGGCTCAGCACCTGGGAATCGGTCAAGTGGAGCTCTCAGATCTTGTTCTCGTATTATTTAGGATCTCCATAATAAAGATGTTGATTGACATGATAAAAAATCTATGATATTTTCATTTCCTGTGCTTCCGTTTTGCACAGTTCCCACTCACCTTGTACACCTCGCCAAAGGAGCCTCTCCCCAGCAGGCCCAGGTTGGTGAAGCACTGGTTGAAGTAGGACTGCTGTCTGCTGGGGTCGTACAGCGACAGCGGGGGGGGGGATTTGATGAGGAAGCGGGAGAGGGGAGACCAGGGGGACGGGGGACGTTGGGGGAAGACCCGGCTCAGAGGGGGGCAGCCCTTGGATGGGGGGCGCGGGGGTAGTGAGTGCATGATAGGGACGGGAGGCGAGAGAGATGAGGTGGAGGATGAAGAGAAGGGGAGGCGGCGTTTCTTGAGGGAGAAGGACTGTTCTGCCTTGGAGAAGTGGGTGGGGAGGGGGAGAGGTGTGGTGTCCACTTTGGTTTCCAAGTACACAGACATGGCTTGGAGATGTTGAGGGATCAATAAAGGGGCAATGGCCTGGGAAGTGACTGGGAAGGTATGGTGACCGTAGGTTCCATTTTTCTGAGCACAAGTTTTGAGATTCAAAGCTTAGAAAATAGAAAGGTCAACATTAGTGTGCTTTCAACATAGTGAAGACAAGGTGATGTTGACATAGGGGAGCAAAGCAGATAACAAATCTGTAAAAGTCAACCTAATCAAATCCACTTTAGGTAGCTAATAATAACAGCCTGAACCATATGGGTGACGTGTCAGTCAAATACCCATTTAATACTGACAAGGCCAACTAAGCTGCCACAAATGTCAATGATTTTGTTGCTGCTAAATTAACGTTGTCAGCAAGTAACTGTAGCCTTGCCATTATGTCATATGTATTTGGGTAATTTTAACGTTAACGTTACAGGGAAATTGCATTATTCAATGTAAACAATAGCTAGCCAGCTCTCCAAAAAGGTGTTTACTTACCAGACTGGAGGAATTCTATAAAATGAACTGCTTAATTCCAAGTGACAGTCATCAACGTAGCTAACGGTAGCATTCTTATGGCCAGAGAAACACGAAAGTCATCGTTAGCTGTTAGATTAAAATATACTGGTTAACGTTAGATAGTTAGCCAATAGAGCTAGCTAGCTCCTATCCAAGTCAAGCACATTGTATTTTATGGAAAAGAGATGTATGTTTCTGAACCAGGGGAGAACGACTTCACCTGCCTCAATCAAGTATAGTTAGCTGCAGCCCAATATGGCGCCGGAGTATGGGCGAGTGGGTGCAGAATGGCGCTGAAGGCGTTGCATGGTCAATCTGATGTCTGAATTGCCCGTGCAGTATTTACGGCGATAAGGCCTCTGCAAAAGTCAGGAAATTCATACTTCTTACGCTTTTATCGGCGGTTGGCATCCAACGTTATGGTGCATTACCTCCACCTACTGTACTGGAGTGTGGGCCAGAGACAGGGAGAAACTAAATCCTACCTGCCAGCCCCGTTGCTCTTAAAAAAGATAACAAAATATTTGAGACTATATCTAATGACGTTCTACTCAATATACTATTTAAACCTATTTCCTGTATCCCCTTCCCCCTCATACTAGATCTCATCCTCTCTCTTTCCCTCTGATACTACCCACACTGTAGCAATACATGCTCCACGATCTCTGTTTCCTGACAATAATCACACTTTCCTGTTGGATGCTTTCCTATCACATTTAATGTCTTATTCAACTGGCTGTGTCCCACCCTTAATCTTGTAAAAATAGCCTCCTCTCTTCTGTCCCTTCCTAACGTCCTCCCCTCCCTGACTTTCCTCTGTACTTGAAATAAATGCCTTCCCTTATTATCTCTATTCCACTGCTCCTGCCATCTCTGCACCATCACTGTATATATCAGTATTTTTGCCTCTGCCTTGCTCATTGAAACTTCAACATCAACATCCCCACTACTAAGTGCTTGTTTAGCCTGTTCATCTACTGCCTCGTTCCCCTCCACCCCCACATGGGCTGGGACCCAAGTAAATCTTATCTGTTTACCCATCTGTTTAATCCTGCAATTGGTTTGTAGCACCTCATAAAGCAGGTCTTGTCTGCTACGTGAGCTAAAGGACTGGAGACTCATTAACACTGCACATGAATCATAGCAAATAACTACTCTGTCTTGTTTGACATCTTCCACCCACTCCAAGGCTAACAGTATGGCCATCAGCTCCACTGTATATAGAGCCAGATGATCTGTAATACGTTTCCTGACTTCCACCCCACATTCCTGCACTACAAATGCTGACCCAGTACGTCCTGTCCTTGGATCTTTTGAACCATCTGTGTAAATGGCCACAAAATCCTGATACACAGTTTCCAGACGTCTCTTAAAGAAATCAGATGGATCAACACTCTCCCTATCTTTCTGTAGTCTCTCCAACACTTCTAGGTCAACTACTGGAGGCGGGAGTAGCCATGGTGGATTTACAGGAATAACTACCGTTGGACTAAACTCCCTTCCATACTGTCCCATCTCCTTCGCTTGGGTATTACCCACCCACCCAAAGCTTGTGTTCTGTCTTCGCTCATGTTCCCAGCATGCCTGTAAAATCCCTTTCGCAGGATGAGACACCCCATGTCCTTGTAGGTTGACCCAATAATTAATTGCCAGCTGCTGTCTCCTAATCTGCAATGGCATATCCCCCATCTCCACCTGTAATGCAGCCATTGGGGACATCCGAAACGCCCCACTACATATTCGGAGTCCTTGACCCTGTATGACATCTAGCCTTTCCAGTGAGGTCCGGGCTGCCGAACCATATGCTATACTGCCATAGTCTATTACAGATCGGATCAATGCAACATACATGGTCTTCAATGAGGAACGCCCAGCCTCCCACGCCTTCCCCGTCAGACAGTGCATCACATTTAGCACCTTCTTACACTTTCCCACCACTCTCTCAATGTGTTCTGACCAGGTCAGTCTAGTGTCAAAGTATACCCCAAGGAACCTGAAGGCCCCCACCCTCTCCAGGTTTCTCCCATATAACCTCAAGCATACCTCATCTCCCACCTTCCTCCTGGTAAAGAACACTGTTTGAGTTTTCTCTACAGAGAACTTGAATGCCCACATTAATGCCCACCGCTCTACCTCATAATAATAATAATAATAATAATATGCCATTTAGCAGACGCTTTTATCCAAAGCGACTTTTTATTTTTTAAATTTTTTTATTTCACCTTTATTTAACCAGGTAAACCAGTTGAGAACAAGTTCTCATTTACAACTGCGACCTGGCCAAGATAAAGCATAGCAGTGTGATAAAAACAAACACAGAGTTACATATGGGGTAAAACAAAACAAAGTCAAAAATACAACAGAAATACATATAATATACAGTGTGCAAATTTAGCAAGTTATGGAGGTAGGCAATAAAATAGGCTATAGTGCAAAATAATTACAATTAGTATTAACACTGGAATGATAGATGTGCAAGAGATGATGTGCAAATAGAGATACTGGGGTACAAATGAGCAAAATAGATAACAATATAGGGATGAGGTAGTTGGTAGACTTACAGTCATGCATGCATACATTTTTGTGTATGGGTGGTCCCGGGGATCGAACCCACTACCTTGGCGTTACAAGCGCCGTGCTCTACCAGCTGAGCTATCAATTGCTTCCTGTACCTTCCTGACTATGTATGGCACATTTCCTCCCCTCTTCCATAAGGCCCCATCATCTGCAAATAATTACTAGAGAAATTGTCAAGGAAGTGAGCTTGTTTTTATACAGGACCTCCCGCCCCCACCTACCATCAACCAATCACATCAATGCGGATATATACGGAGCCCTCCACATTGTTACAACATTTGACCTCAGTTTTTTTATTTATTATACAAAATTATCAGCAATCAACAACTTACATCCCGACATCAAACATGTCTAACAGAACAAAACACAGGTATAAACAAGAAAATACTAAATACATACAAAAAAGATATACAAAAAAATGAAACAAATCAAGTGCAATTGTATTCACTCAGAAAAAATCTCATTATAATGATTCAGGAAGATGTTATTACTTTTATTATTCACTATGGATAATGTCTTAACAAGATGATTACATTCAATAAAACATATTTGTAATTTTTGTATAGAATTCTGGAATTTTTGTTTGTGTATAAAGTATTTGGCAACAAGAATTAAAAAATGCACAATCATTTCAATGGTCTTGTTATCATTGCAATAGTAACATATTATATCCTTAATGTCAAAAACATGGGTAGTGTTCAAAAAGTTAAATAAGTATTCTGCAAGGTTTTCCCAAAATTCTATCGCAGATTTACAGTTGAAGTCGGAAGTTTACATACACCTTAGCCAAATACATTTAAACTCAGTTTTTCACAATTCCTGACATTTAATCGTAGTACAAATTCCCTGTCTTAGGTCAGTTAGGATCACCACTTTATTTTAAGAATGTGAAATGTCAGAATAATAGTAGAGAGAATTATTTATTTAAGCTTTTATTTATTTCATCACATTCCCAGTGGGTCAGAAGTTTACATACACTCAATTAGTATTTGGTAGCATTGCCTTTAAATTGTTTAACTTGGGTCAAACGTTTTGGGTAGTCTTCCACAAGCTTCCCACAATAAGTTGGGTGAATTTTGACCCATTCCTCCTGACAGAGCTGGTGTAACTGAGTCAGGTTTGTAGGCCTCCTTGCTCGTACACGCTTTTTCAGCCCACAAATGTTCTATAGGATTGAGGTCAGGGCTTTGTGATGGCCACTCCAATACCTTGACTTTGTTGTCCTTAAGCCATTTTGCCACAACTTTGGAAGTGTGCTGGGGTCATTGTCCATTTGGAAGACTCATTTGCGACCAAGCTTTAACTTCCTGACTGATGTCTTGAGATGTTGCTTCAATATATCCACATAATTTTCCTTCCTCATGATGCCATCTATTTTGTGAAGTGCACCAGTCCGTCCTGCAGCAAAGCACCCCCACAGCATGATGCTGGCACCCCCGTGCTTCACAGTTGGGATGTTGTTCTTCGGCTTGCAAGTCACCCCCTTTTCCCTCCAAACATAACGATGGTCATTATGGCCAAACAGATATATTTTTGTGTCATCAGACCAGAGGACATTTCTCCAAAAAGTACGATCTTTGTCCCCATGTGCAGTTCCAAACCGTAGTCTGGCTTTTTTATGGCGGTTTTGGAGCAGTGGCTTCTTCCTTGCTGAGCGGCCTTTCAGGTTATGTCGATATAGGACTCGTTTTACTGTGGATATAGATACTTTTGTACCTGTTTCCTCCAGCATCTTCACAAGGTCCTTTGCTGTTGTTCTGGGATTGATTTGCACTTTTCGCACCAAAGTATGTTAATCTCTAGGAGACAAATCCTTTGGTCCTTAAATTAAACTGAAATACTTTTTTATTTATTACATTTACATTTACGTCATTTAGTAGACGCTCTTAACCAGAGCGACTTACAGTTAGTGAGTG